CCCCCCCCCAATGTAGCCCCTGCAGGGCAGCAGCGGGTCTGTCTGAGTCCCGGGTGGAACAAATGGGGAATGTCTTTGACCACCCATCAAAAGGTCAGAGGTGACATCTACTTGGAGGGACCTGGGAGAAACACTTGGCCCTCTGCTTCCAAAAATCAGCCACAGAAAGTCCTATGGATTTCCCCAGTTCTCCCCTGACACACACGGGCTTGCCATGAGCCGGGTCAACTTAGTGGTATGATGGTGGACAGGTCTGATGCCCACTCCTTCTCCAATCTGCTCATGCTCAGGGGCAGGGTCCTGGGAGTCTCGTGTACATAGTAAAATGTCTGGCATGCACGCAGCATGCTGATAGCTGCCACCGTGGCCAGTCACTTGAAATCAACTTTGAGACATCCTGGACTGCTCTACCCTCAGACTCCCTGGCCATGGGCTTCCATGGTACTGTTCGCTTTTCTTGGTGGTGTGCGTGGTAACTGATGGCCATCTATCTATTGGTGTGCTCATTTGACTAACGTCTGGCTCTCCATCTCCACCCTCAAGACCACACATTCCTTCAGACCAAGAACTGTGCCCGCTAGGCTCGCCTCCACACCCCAGAACAACCGAAAGCACCTTGATATCGACAGAAGCCGTTTAAAATTCTCCACATCTACCGTGCTTTCTGCTTTTCTCCCACTATTGATTTCTCTCCTCGCCTAAGGTTCTTCAGACAATCCCACCTCGTAAGTTATCTCATGCGTTGGGGATTTTACACCTCTTTCACAATCTAACGATCTTCTCTTGCTACTGAGGAGGAAGGGGCTTCTTCCTCTCTGTGTCCCCTTTCCTATCGTGTGAGAGGTATAGGGGAACAGTTATCTTTGACATAAGTATGCTGGGTTTTTTTTGGGGGGGTGGGGGGATCCTCAGAAGAGAAGATTCATGATGACGAGACTACCTCATAGGATGTGAAACCCCAAAACCAAACTCACTGCCGCCAAGTAGATCCGACCCTGGAGGCCAGGGAACAATGAGACCTGTGGGTTTCAGAGACAGTCATTCTTTACAGGCGTGGAGACCCTCACCCTCCTCACAAACAGGATGGGAAAGCGACACCCCAACATTACAAGGTGGCAGTAGGAAAAGTACAACCCCTGCATCTTCCCCGGGGCCACAGGAGGTATTTCATCCAAACCCTCATCCTAAAGTTATGCAGACAAACATCAGAAGAGGTCTGGCTCTGTTGAAGTCTTTGCCCCTGATAAAGACAACCCATCATGTCACAAGCAGACAACAGGCAGCTCGTCATTGTTCCCAGAGGCCACTCCGCGGCTGAGAACGGCCAGAGTCTCAGATGTTCTTAGGTTAAAAACAAGGCAACACATCGACTCGTTGCAAAATCATTCATTCAGCCTGGTAGTGCAGGGGCTTCTTAAACTCAACAGACAGCTGTCAATCCTCTACTTGAAGAAGGCCTTGAAAGACATGGTTCCTGTCCCTCCTTCAATCTAGGTCACATGGAAACTCATACACGAGACATTCCTGATGTCAGGAAAAATCCTGCTGTCAGGAGCAGGCAGAGGGTGCAAAAATCATCCTGAGAAGTCTAACTCTTTAGAGAGATTTAAGTTCCTGGATCCTTAAGATTAAATAGGGTAAAAAAAAATTTTTTTAAAGATTAAATATGCTTCTCTAGGAGTGGACGAAGAGAAACCATGGAGAGGCCTCCTATGAGCTGAAGAACACTTGAGTCATGGAAAACTGAAAAGCGAAATCCGGCCTTTCCCCACCTCCACCCTCCACCCCACCCCCCACCCCACAGTGCTCTTCTTTCCCCTGACATGTGAACCTGAGCTTCTGCACCACAGACAACTGCTACCGCTGGACTCCCTCGCGATGGTCCCTCTGCTGAGACTGAGCCTTCTGAGACGGTGACCTCTTAAAGGATGGCCCACAAGCTGCTGCAGAACCCGCCTTGTGCGTGAGCAGCATCCAGCAACTGCTTTAGGAATATGAGGCAAGTGCTTACCTGCGCTGAAAAGGACGCGGAGCAATGCCGCTGCTCTGCAGTTCCCGCGCCTGCTGAAGAGTTCCCCTTCTGCGGCAGCCCATGTCACACTCCGCTGCACGCACGCACGCGAGGCGCCTGCAGAAGCCCAAACAGGAACCTCCCCAGTCATGGCCCCCATTACCTCACGTACGTTCACACTTCCATTCTTAAGAGAAGTGGAGGGTTTACCTCCGGAGATAAGCCTCACATCACGGAGCTCTGTGGGGCATCTCCCGGGCTAGATGACAAGTTCTCTGGGTGGGGGTTCCTGATGGCATTAGGCATTTGTGGAGAAGGAGATCTGCGTTGCAGACAAAATACAATAACTTTTGAATTAATACAAATAGTTTTCTCTATGTTCAAGAGACCTCTTTGTTTCTTTCGGTGCAGAATTGCAATATAGTCAGGACATCTCTCCATCCCTTCTTCCAAAACTATAGCTGGACCATGGACTGGCAAAAGGACCAAACAGATCTGTCTTGGAAGAAGTACAACTAGAAGGCGCCTTCAGAAGTGAAGATGGTGAGACTGCAGCTCACGTACTTTGGGGATGTCAGCAGGAGAGACTGGTGTCCCTGGAAAGGACAACATGCTTGGTGGAGGCAGGGAAAAGAGGAAGGCCCTCAGCAAGACAGACTGACACAGTGGCTGCCACATTGGATCCAAAAGGAACTACCGGGAGCTGGCCCAGGCCGAACCGAGGGTCCTTTCATTCTGCTGGGTCCGGGATGGCTAGGAGTCAGAACCGGCCCAACGGCACTCAACAACAGCGCTCCAACTTACCAGCAGACATGCACCCTTCCTGAGAGTGCAATGCCAGCAGACAGGCCGCAATGCACTCCCCCAGGGAGGCCCTTGGATAGCTCCGGCACCCTCAAAAAGAACTCCGGGTATCTCTTCTTAGTCTTAAGCCATGAGCTCAAAACAAGGGTTTCCAATGCACATGCCTTCACGCAGGACTTCTACAACTCACTACAGCTGCATGCAGGACTTC